ATGAATTCTCAGCCGTCTAAAGGAGGGGGGAGGAGCGAGGAAGATGGGAATAGGAGAGCGACTTCATCAGTGTCTTTGACCCTGTCCTGTCCTTGACTCCCCAGCGGAGGTGCACCTTGAGAAGAGCCCATGTGACGCTAGTGCTCATGCTCACATATGTACACACACACACACACGCATGTATACACAACAGTCCCTCAAGGCTCCATGTTCTCAAGGCTATCAGTGGAGTGAGGGTGGCTGGTGTTTGCTCAGCTTTGAGGCCTGCTTCCTGTCCCACTGGTCTCCTAAGCTCTGATCCACACTTCACAAATGACGGACATGAGGAACTGACACGGTTGCGAAAATGAAGAAAATCAAGCACTTAAAAAAAAAATTAAAAAAACGGCTGAACGAAGAATCCACTGCGACTCTGCCCAAATCTTTTCCGAGTTGGTTGGACTCTTCAGCCATGGCACAGTCTTATCAGTGGCAGAGGGGGTTGGGGACAAGCGCAGTGAGGGGTAGGAAGACAGGGGACATGGGTTGTGTTTGCCCAAAGTGACAGTGTGGGCCAAGGGCTTATCAAGGCCTTTGTAGATTATCGATCGGAGCAGATATGTGAGGCACAGGGGCCTATGTGCGAGTGTGTGTCCGAGGTTCGGGAAGCTCTGGCTTGACTCACTGAAATGTCACAGGCCTGTTTCAACTCCTGTTTTTAAACTGGTGTTTCACTGTCAGCAGAAGTGAGAGTGTTCTTAAGATGCAGTCACTTCACTGTCAGATGACCCCATCTGGAATGTAGTGCATTACAGAAATCTATAAATGACCCCTTTCACACAACGATACAGTGGCCGAAAACCATGGGAAGTGCTGGTATTCCCAGGCTGAGTTGCGGTTAGGAATTAACCTGGCTGGCAGCGGGGGCTAAATGTTGTGTCCCTGCATTTCATCCTTCAAGGCTAAAGCTCACTAGCGCACACACTCACTTACACACACAGCCTTATCTTCCAGGGTCTCATCTTGTTTGGCCAACGCTGTGCAAATAGAAGGTGCAATACATCTCCTGACAGTTCCCAAAAGCAAGGGGGAGAAACACGTTGGCCAAACAAACAGCCAACCCTGAGTCACCGAGAGAGAAGAGATTTCTCAGGCTTCACCGAAACACACACACACACACACACTTGCATGCAGTGTGTGTAACAGTAGCTTTTATTTAAGGGCTTGGGCCTCTGGCTACCTTTTTAAACGTTTGTCTAAGCAGTCTTAAGACAGGGGCCGCTGCTGGAGTGAATAGCTCCCAGCAAGCCGTCCACAGGCTCCTATTGTCCTCTGTCATATTTTATTATCTCATCAAAAAGCAGGAAATCCGATTCCCTCTCTCTGAAAAAGAGCTTATCCTTCTGTCTCAAAGCAACCTGTCACGAGAGAGGGAGATGGAGAGAGGTGGAGAGAATGGGGGAGAGGGGGGAGTCAGTGAATGAGAGTGATTAACTGCCTCAATGCTGTCAGAAGTCCCTCATTCTTTCTTCCTTCTTTTCTTTCTTTCTTTCTTCCAGATTGGTATTTACCCAACACAGAGCACGAGGCAAAGTTTAGGGCAAAAAGTGTGTCTGTATTCGAGACCAGCATTATCCCCTTTGCTGATGCTTTTCTCCCTTTTTCCCTCCTTATCTTCCTCCTTTCATATTGTGTTACACAGGTGTAGAGCAGCAGTCTCTCTTCCTCTCTCCTCCCTCCTCTATCAGTCGGTGAACTACAAAACTCTGCTAAGGAGCAGGAGAGACAGTCCAACCCCTGCTTCTTCTTCATCATCACATCATAGAGTCAAACTCGTGATTTATTCATTACTTTCATATTTGTCCATTTTCATTAACCGCTCAAGCAGAAAAGGATAATTTGATTGTGGCTTAGAAATGCACGCTGTTGTCCAGGTGAACAGTCTTTCCTGCTGCGCTGCTGTGAAACAATCACAAAATATGATTGTGAAGTCGTCTGACGAAAATAAACAAAGTCAGGTTGGAGACAGTGTGAACATCTATATTGACATCTAAAATTAGTGATAGAGAGATAAAAGGGCGTCAGAAAGTTGTCTTCTGGAATTTAGGACTAAGCAGACTTATATCATCATTTTCCAAAGACTCCATTTTCCTTGTTCACACTAAAAACATAACGAAAAACTCAGGAAATTGTTTTGGAAAAGTTAGAAAGAAAAGTGAGAAAAAAGCCAAAGGGAAAAAGGTATTTTCAAATTTAGCCGGCGTACTGTGGATGTAATCTCAGTTGTCTCATTTGCCTTTTCCAGGTGTCATTCCTCCCTCTCTCTCTCACACACACGCACACACATCCCTCGCTCTATACTTTTTTTTTTTTCCTGCCTCTCCCTCCCTCCCTCCCTCCCTCCCTCCCCTCTTTGTACATCTGTCCTTTAATTTTGGGCTCTGCTGAAAAGTTGTTAAAAAGCCCTATGAAATATGTATGAAGGATTGTGAGCCACGCGATTGGCCCCATTTACCGGACAGCCCAGCGAATGAACGGCCACACTGGATAATCCCCCACAATGCTTCTGGAACAAAGGCCCAACAGCTGACCCTAGAGAGAGAGAGAGAGAGAGAAAGAGAGAGAGAGAGAGAGATGAAGAGGGGAAGGGGGGGAGTGAGAGGGGATAGATTGGGACAAGGGAGGGGTTGCAAACAGTTAAGGCTCACTGCTGGTCAGGAGGCAGCTCGCTCACATACACAACTCACACGTACTCACAAAACAAAGGCTTGTGGGACAGGAATAACTCCCTCTGTTCTCCAGCTCGGCTCTCTCTCCTTAGACTCTTCTCAGCCCCTCCTTCTCTCGCCATCTCTCTCCCTCCCTCCCATTCTCACTCTCTCAGTCAAGAGGATCTGAAATACCAATACCCTTTTCTCCTTGACATTGCTTTCTCCTTGCAGTCAGCGTTTTGCTGTCCTTTTATAGTCAAAACGTCAGGAGAAATTCCATGCAGGAATATTCTTAGTAATGCGGCACTCCCTGCGTCTAACGGCTTGGGCGCTACGCTGCACTGGCCCGTTAGTGAGGTCTTTTGGGAAAAGCGTGCACATGCCCACATGCACTCTTACTGTACAACGCATACACAGAGTTGCCCTCAAACTGGGGTCATTGTGCCAGTATTTCAGAGACAGCAGGAGCCCAAACAGTGAATTATATCCACTTCTATCCCACCAGAGGGGAATTCAATATTTGGGGAATCAGGTTAGCTTGTGTTTTCTCTCTCTCTCTCTCTGTCAAACACACACACACAGAGCGCACAAGCTCCTTATTCACGACTCACCTTTTCACTCAAGCAGTGGACAGAGATATGCACACACACTCACACACACACTCACACACACGGGCATCTTAGCCTCCATTCATCACCCCGAGGGGGGGGTTAGGGTGGGGGGGGCGTGTGGCTGTCCCATGTGTGTATGTGTGCATGTAAAGACGCCTGCCTGTGTGTGTGTTTGACTGTGTGTGTACATGTCCGTCTCTGCGTGTGTGTGTGTGTGTGTGTGTGTATGTATGTGTGTGTTCCAATGGCCACTAACCTTGCTGTGTCCTGACACTCCTGATGAGTATCTGCAGGACACTGGAGGAGAGGAGCGGCGTGGAGTGCGCACTGTCAGGCATTTGGGCAAGCTGCTGCTGCTGTATATGTGTGTGTGTGTGACTGTGTGTGTGTGTGTGCGAGCATCAAGGGAGGTGGGCAGGGAGACAGTCAGCATTATCCAAGCAGGTGACCCCTGAAGGCTGCATCGCCCTGGAGCTTCGAGTCGAGGAAAGAGACTCAGCCAAACACACTAGGGTAGCCAGTGTGTGTGTACAGCGAGCGTTATGTAGAGCTCTGTCACAGTACAGGATGTGTCATCTCCTTGGCACAAGGAGGTGTGTGCGCTGGTGTGTGTGCTCACGCCTGCATGAACGTGTGTGTATGTGTGTGTGACAGAGTGTTGGCTTGGGGGAAGGTGTCACAGATCTTTGCCAGACTAATCATCTCCATGGTGTCGGTGAGCGCTGCTGTCAGGGACACTAAAGAGGCGGCGTGTCTCCCCGTTCCCAAAGCATTTAGTACTTCCTCTTTCGCCAGCACCTCTCTGTCGCTCTTCACTCAGCTCCGCTGTCTTGTTTGGTCACAGATTTACAGTGGGACCCATAAAGATGTCACGCTCGCCGTGTTGTAGGGAGGGAAGTGTGGGGTGTGAGAAACCTGAGAATTCACAAGAAGTGGCTTTTCTCAGGCCGACGCCTCAATTGGCTTTTAAGGAAGTAGATACTCAAGAGATGGGAGATTTATGGTTTTACATCCACTGTGAAAACAAGAACATATTCCACAACTGAGGAGTTGACAGTGTTGAGGATGATGCAAAGAAACTACCACAGACAGCAAAATGCAATAGAGCTGTGGAGTAGCAGGAAGTAGAAGTCACAGTGTTGGGTGATCGGCAGTTGGAGTTGGAAACTGTCATTGGTAAAAGATGAGAAACTGTGATAAAAAAATGCCTGCTTGTTTGATGAAAACTCAAAGGCACATGACCGTGTGCATAAAACCACAGGTGAATAAGTCAACTACAACTCCCAAGGAGCATTTCATTTGGAAATATAAAATCACTGAGCTAAAAATTCTGTTGCGTGCATTGCTAATGGCCAGTGGAAGCTAAAGTTACATTTTGCAGAAACCTAATAAAATGTTCTGTCATTTAAAACAGTGTTTTGTTCATATCTACAACAACAAAGCTTTCTGAATCTGAGTTGTTCCTTTGACTGGCAGCTATAACTAAAGCACATGGGTACTGCAGCATTTTGGGCCATCCACTAAACCAAACTGACCGATAAAAATTTGGAAATGTAGTTAATATAATCGAGACCGTCAGCCTTTAGTATTGTTAAATTATCTAGAAGAATTATCTGGACAATTCCTGTAAAAATGATCGATCAGTGATCTTAACTTGTCCGGATGATTAACCAATTCCTTTCTCCCTGTGTCTATAAAGGTCCCCGATCGCTTCCTGGAGGTGGCCGAAATCACACTGAGAGAGTTTTTCAATGCCATTGTGGCCGGCAAAGACGTGGACCCGTCCTGGAAGAAGGCCATCTACAAGGTCATCTGCAAACTGGACAGCGAGGTCCCCGAGATCTTCAAGTCCCCCAACTGTCTGCAAGAGCTTCTACATGAGTAAATTTCTCCTCCTCCTCCTCCTCGCACGATGCTTTGCGCTTTTTCTTTTTTTTTTCTCTCTGATTTCATAGAATTTCAGGATGATATTCTCTTTTGTTTTTATTTTCCCCAACTCTACGTTTGATTTCCTGTTTTTTATTTTTTTATTTTTTGAATGTATGAAAGTTATGAAGTAGCATTCCCAATCTGAAGCCTCTGTGGCAGTTCCTAAATGACCTAGCTATTGTGTTGTTGTTCTTATATGATAATTATCATGATGGTTATTATTTGTTTTGTTTTTCTAAGATTCTGATTAACTGAAGAGACTCTAATCTTACTGGGTGTTTTCTGGACTGTGTGATCCCTCATCTGTTTTGGCCTGATCAACACTAACTAAGTCCTCAGTGTGTGGAAGGATTTCCTGAGTTCCCATTTACACTACTAAGAACATAGGCTGGGTTCCTTAAAGACTTTATTCAACTGCACCCAAGGGTGTCCCTCCAATCCTGTGGGTGTCCACACGAACTGTCCCTGCAAAGAGCAAAGTGGGTGCCCAACAGACTGTGCTACTGAAGATGTCCCTAACAGGACAGTCACTCACACACACACACACACACCCACACACACACACACACACCCACACACACACACACACACACACACACACAAAAACAAGGCCTAGTGAGGTTATTGACTGGACTAAGACTGGACTCGTGGTACTGGTCTGTACTGGTCTGTGGGACTTGGACTGGTTTCAAATAGCTACTGAGCTCTACCATGTTTTGAAGTGTGTTTTCCCCGCAAGTAGGGCATTGTGTTTATTGGGTGTACATTATTATTTTTGATTATTATTATTGTTGTTGATGTTTATGATTATTATTATTTGTCACCACTGCTTGCTGAAGATTGGCACTTCGAGATTTGTTTGTCCCTTGATGCCATTGCAGAAAAAAATAAATTATTGCTATTAATATTATTCCACAAGAGTTTAGATTCTGAAATATTTTGCCCCCATTTCCTATCCTTCTCTTTACTCTTGTTTCAGTTTGTCCATCTCGGAGGTGGACTTTTTTTTTAAAATTTTTTTATTTCATATTTGGTGGTCGGGGGTCTGGGGGCGACTTGCTTGGAAAGTGTTTCAATTTGGGCTTTAATGGAAGGCCATAAGAGTGGGCTTCTCTATATGTCTGTAGCCACTAGCCTATCCTGCACAGGACCAGTCTGCCAACGATGCCGGTGAAGGCGTTACGCTGCAGAAATGCATGAAGTTAACAGTGCAGAAGTGGCCTTTTGGTGTCTTTGAAAAGGCTAAATTTCCATAGCCACTCCAGCTTTGATAACTACACTGCTCCCACTAAATGAGCCATTTGTTCCGCTATGAAATAAATCTTATTCATCTAATTATCTGTTCAATATCGGTGAACATTCACAGTAATGACTGTGTAGTTTTTTGCCTTTTTATATAACAGTTCATTAATTAGCTCATGTGCGAGATGAAGTCAGCCTGTTTATATGGCAGGCTTTTAATGTGATTAGCCTATACAAGGTGTAAATTACATTATGAAGTTATTTGAATAGCCGTTGATACTTGAATATATCACAATACTGTGGCAATCTAAAGTACAGTGTTGCTGAAACAATAAATTATTGAATATATACAAATAGGAGCATCATAGACAAGGAGGATAATTCAAGGAGAGCAGAGAGAGGTGAATATAAGCTGAAACACAGACGTTCATTAATTCTGCTTCAAGTGGAACTTACCCACACACAAAACACATGCACACGCGCACACACACACACACACACACACACACACACACACACACACACACTGCTCCTTCCCTCCGTGTTCACCTGCCTTTGAGTGATCTAGCTCTTCTCTCAATGCAACAATGCTAGGTCGAAGGTGAGCACTCACCCCAGGGGTAGATGGAGAAGCTCTCAGCACTACAAAGAGTGCGGACAAAGGCACAGAGCGAGGAGCGACACGCACCTGAAACCCTCCGCTCTGTCCCGCCGTCCTATGCTGGCAGCTTTTAAGACCCAAAGTATGATTCTGTTGAAGCCACTGTGCCCAGTTTGTTAAACACCATTCCTTTCACTTTTACCTGAGATACTAATCCCAGATTTTCCACTTGACTTGTACATGTAAATCTAGTGTTTTATTACTTTCATCCACCCTCTCAGGCTTTTAAGATTTTTTAAGAAGCAGTTAGTGTTAGCTGGCCTTTTGATGAGGTAAGTTTGAAGCAATGAGAGGACTTGAATACTTTCTAAAGTGCGTGCGAGCTAGCTGTTGATCTCACCTTGGCGACATTAGCTTATAGTGTGTCTGTGTGTGTGATCAAAAGATCAAAAGGGGCAGGTTGCTTAACCTGCTGACTTGTCTGAGGGAGACAAAGCGCCTGACAAAAGGAGGCAGAGAAAGACAGAGAGCTACTCCCTCCATTATATCATCCCCTCTCCTCCTCCCCAGACAGTGTTCTTCTTAAGATCCGGAGCCCTGAGAGAGCGAGCCGGACACTTTTCTCACTGAAGGATGGGCTAGGCCCTTCATGTCTCAGAGTCTCAAAGCACCAGCCAAGGGCTCTAAAGCGCCACAAACAAAGGAGAAGGGAAAGGACACTTTTATCTGATGCACAGATTATTATCGCTCCCCATCCTCCCCCTTCCTGCAACCCCACCCTAAAGTTAAAGAGTTCCTGCGCCTAAAAAGATTACTTCAGGATAATGAAGACTTATGTGCAAAAATAAAAAGGATTAGCAAGACCTTAATACCACGTCGAAAATATTTTTGTCAAGTTTTCCTTTACTGGCGTCATTTGATTTTTAGGATAACATTATTGAAATACATATATAGCCTTTTTTAAGAAATGTAAAATATAAATCTATGAAAAAAATATATACTGTAGTGGAAGTTCTTTGAAAGGCACTGTTAGCAATTGTTTCATAAAAGAAATCTTGAGGGTATTTTTAGTGACGGCTTTGTTTAAATCTGTATTCTGAATAAGTGAGTTGTTGGTAGATTAGGAGCAATAGTTGTAGGTTTTTTGCAGGTTTTGTGACCAGTTTTCCTTTTGGTTTCTTTAACTTTTTGTATTGTGCTGAATGGCTGTCTTCTTGAGATCAGAAAAATAAACTTGGAATCCATTTTCAGAGTATGAAATATTGTTGTTGCTGCTGTAAATACTGTCAGGATGAAACAAAGAATAGCTGTACAGTTTTTTTCTATTATCACTCAGAGTGCTAGAGAAGGGTGAGAGTGGTTAAAAAAAGAAGGCTGAAAAAAAGAGAGATGACCCGTTCTCTCCAACTGGACTCATAACCACTCTTCCAAAAACACAGAGGAGAGTTTTTTTATTTTGTTTTTTTTTTTTTTTTTTCCCTGCCATGCCTTTAACGGGGGTCTGTTTCCCGTCGGCAGTGCCCTTGAAGTTGCACCAGCATCCGTTTCTTTAATTTTTGCTGACAGAACAATGCATTAGGCTAGCAGCAGTCGGGTAATGATGATGTCACGGAGCGCCCCGTTGGCAGTCCGCGGACCCGGTCTCGTCCAAAAACAAGGGCAGACTGCCACCGACGTAGCTCTAGATTTGACCCGGGAGAGAGACAGGAACTCATTGTCATCAGAAGACTAGTGTCATGGAGGGGGCACATGTTGTACAGTAACAGTTTAAAAAAGAGAGAGAGAGACTACAGACAGAAAAAAGTGATTTATACCCTTTTTTTACTGGGTTCAGTTGGGAAAAGTCTGGACTTTTGTGGAATTTCTGTACGCTTTGCATTGTGTGTGTGTGTGTGTGTGTGTGTGTGTGTGTGGATGTATATGAGTGTGTGTCTGTGTGAGAGAAAAGACCGATTATGAGAACCTGTGAACCAGTGAGTGACACAATTCTCAACACTGTGGCCCCTCCCCCACCCCTGGGAGTACCATCCTGACATGTAAATGATTCTCATTAAGCGTTGGCAACATGTGTTTGGTGTGTGTGTGTGTGTGTGCGTGTGTGTGTGTGTGTTGTGATAATTTCCTCTGATCTGTTTTCTGACCTGTTTGAAAGGGGTTTTTGTTTCTCTATGCTTTCAGTAGTAATTCTTTTTTATTATTATTACATCGCTCCTCTTTTTTTGTAAATATCAATGATGTGGACTTACAGTGATAAATACTGCCTTTGTATAACTTAGCAATATGTTATGTAAATAGTGTTTTGTTGATGCTTTTTGTATGACATTATTATTCGATTCTAGTGCAGTAATTCCAACTGGAACAGCCATGTTTCAAATACAGTCTGAATAATTACACACAGGTTGTAAAATAAAACTCATTACATGGCTGCTTTTTTTCTTTTATTGGTGTCTATTTGTCTTGCAGATTTTGTGTAATTTATTGGTTTAATTTATCCTAATTTATTTGATGTTGTTTTCTTTTGTTTTTCAAACAGGGAAGGCTGTACTGCATTTCATTAAGTAGAACCAACTTAAAATATTTTAATCCTTATCTACCTAAAAGTGAATACAAAAAATGAATATTCTAGCGTGCTCATTCAATTGACAGAAATGATTAAATTGAGATCTTGGCAGCTAAATGGAACAGGACAGTTAAAAAAATAAATAAAAAGGTTGTTAGGTTTTGTTCCTGGACAGGGCCAATGGTGGGCTAGAAAGCTGAAACTAGTTTGAAGCAGTTTTGTATTTTCTCTTGAGATTTTTTCCCCTGTATTTCTTTGGCCCAGCCCACAAACAACCAGTAGTCAAATTGCCTTTCGTGCCTTCACCCTCTATGAACTGAATGTATGTGCAGTATATATGCAAGCTTGTGTAAAATGAATAAAAAATTGAAATAAAAATGAAAAACAGAGCAGAAAAAGTCTGCTGTTTGTGTTTTATTTATATCACCTTCCGTAAGGTACATGCAAAAAATGTGTGTGTGTGTGTGTGTGTGTGTGTGTGTGAGAGAGATGAATGGGGAGATACTAATAGAAAGAAAGTGATTTAAGTTATATAAAAGTATGGTATTAACTT